AGCTAACACAGGTCTCTGCACAGGCCCCAGGTGTCTCAGCACCACAGTGCTAAAGGGCGTCCCATCTGGAAACACCACACAGGTGTTCTTAGGCCCAACAGTGTCAAAGAGGCATTTTGCTGTTTTAATGGAAATTTCCAATAATCAATCAAGGGCAGTAAGGATCACATTGGAATCCAGTTCACATTCCTAAGTCCAGTGTCACACTGCAGCTCTCCGGAAGGGCAAGTGTAACACCAGCCAAGGAAGCTGGAGGAGGGGCCTCCCTGCAAAGCCAGCGGGGATCAGCCATACAAAACCAGCTCACATGGAGGGTAGAGGAAGAGACAGGCAAAGGTGGGTGGAAGGAGCACTCTGCCCAGTCAGAAAGCTCAGGGAGGTGAGAGAGGATGGAGGAGCCATGCCCACATTCACAGGCAAAACCCAAGACAGAGACGGGAGAACGAAGGAGAAGCTCAGGGTCATGGACTACCACTCCTCTCCCTACTCTCCGAATACAGAAGACCAGGTCAGTCCATGCTGTTGCTAGAGGTGTTCAGACACTGGTCAGAATCTGTACCTCACCCCGAGCTGCTGTCCACACCATACAGACACACACCACCTCCACCACCACCAACGAAAGCCCACACAGACACAGGACCATTCCCATTTAGACTGCACCTGGCCTTGGGATCCTGCTCAACATGATGTCCAGGGAGCCACTTCCGCTCAATGCGCTAGCGCCTAAGATGAATCCCCTCAGTGCCTCTTGCACCAGAAGGTCCTCCTTGAAGAACTGCCCCACGGTCGTCCACCTCTTCGCTACAACGGTACACTGCAAAGCACAAAGCTGCATGATTTAGCTCGTGAGAAGAAAATGCTTCACAAATGACATATTGCCACCTCATTCTATTGACGTTTCCACTGGAAATTGACTACTTCCCTGAAGGAGTGGATGAACAGCCACCTCCTACATTGTTTTCTTGATTTTTAAAGTTGCCTTTATCCCTGTGTTTTGACCTTTCATGGGCAATGGTGCTAATCTCATGCAGAGATGAGTCACTTCAGCCACCTCATCATCTCATAGTTTTGGGGGACATGCCTCTGAAGACCCTTTGTGCCAGGTTATCTTCACAGCCACTAGCATAAATGACACTTGGGGGTCTTCAGCCCATTTTTTATCCTTTTGTTTAGCTAATGCTGGATACTTGACAGTATTGGCCTTACAGGTCCCAGAAAACCAATCATCAGGGCTTGTTTTCCCATTGGGAAAACACCGTCAGCCTCAGCAACTGAAGCACAGGGGTTTGAAGCCAAACAAAATGCCTTCAAAGTCAGCCAGTAGAAACCATTCAGACATTAACTTTAGAATCCTGATGACTTCAAACCTCTTTTTTTCTTTAATTTTCGGTTCCATTCCTCACCCACAATTCTTCTGCTCCGTTTCTCTTCATGGGGAGATTTAGTCATCAGAGCCAGTTGGCCCTCTGAACATTCTTCTGGTGTCTGGAAATAGGATCACTTGCAGGGACCAAAAAATTTATTTTCTCTAGCTAACCTCATAAAATACAGACTTCTCACGCCTACCATAGATTTTTTTTTCATATCTGTAGCTTCACGCCCATGATATGACCATCCTTTTTTGGAGGGACTGAACCTTGTTAAGGAGGCAAGTCATGCTTTATTTGCTACACAGTATGTTACATCAAGGGGGTCATATTAAAAATGTGCAAAGAAATAAAAATTATAGTGGAGATGATAGAGGTGCAAAAAACTGGGGAGGGAGGCATCTCTCCATACCAAAATCTCATTCCAACTTCCTGCCAAATGCTTCAGCACTACTGTGGTATCAGAAAAATCTATCTCGGCTGCTAACTCTGATCATCAAAGCAGTGCCCCTGCGGCCTTCATTTGCATGAGGTTTGCTCAGTTGCTAACCATGAAGACTTCACTCCACTCTTGTCCCAACTGGTCCAGAGTTCCAAAGTTAACACGGAGGGTGCCAAAGGCGTGTCACCTCCAGTTCACCAACATGTAGTCCTTGCACTTGATAAAACAGGAATGAAGGAGGAGAGAATGCAGGGTGAGGAAAACATTATTTTGGAGAAATTTATTTGATAGCATTTTAAACCCATGAGCCAAAGATGATCTTAGATCCTTTCACCCAACTGTGAGGTGGGAAGGAAGATCACTGGGGAAGCTGCCATGGTGGCAGGTCTCAGACAGCAGCCTTTGCCCAATGCCTATAACAACTCAGCTATTTATTCTACTGTGAGGAGGGAAAATAACCTAGAAAAGAAACAAGGACTCAAACAACTGATGTGAAAGGTTTTTGCCTGCCCCCTTGTATGTTTTCCTTTGTCATTTTGACTGAAGATCATGCAAGGTTTGGGTTTTTCTTTTTAATCCCAAAGAAATCTCACCAGTATTGCCATTTGGAAACAGAATAGGTCACTATGGAGGTTGGTACTTCATGCACATGATGCATACATTCCATTTTCTGCACATAACCAAAGGATAACATGCAGTGCTATTATAATAAATCTATCCCAGATATTGCAAATCATAGGAAAGGGGATTTTTTAATACGAAGGAAAAACTCTGCCCTTGTGGGGTGCTGATGTTTATTTATACAATCACACCCTCATCTGACATCCTCAGACCTAATTAGTGGTGAAAGCTGATTAAAGCAGAAAATCCTTTAAAAAATAATACATACGTACCTTAAAACTTTATTTTACCCTGCAGCTATTGAGACCAACCGCCCTGATTTGCCTGTGGGGAGGCACAGCTGGTCACCCGAGTTAAAGCACAGGAGACACACTTTTACTCCTGGTTCTGGCCCAGGACCTTCCCTTGAATAAGGGACGGTCGGCTGCCTGGCATTCTGTGCGGACCTGCTTTCGTGAACCACTCCAATAACATGGCCTATGATTTCCAGTCTCAGATTCTTTGAAGTCAGGCAAGAGTAAAGATGCTTGTGAAGACCAGAAGCCTACACTTTTACAACATTCTCTCACCTCTTAGTGTTGTCTCAACCCACTTATATTGACAGAAAGGCTTTGTACTAATTTTAAATCTTTTCCAAAAGAGTCAATGAATTTTCAAAGCAGAGACTTTTTGGACTCATATTTAACAGTTTATAAAATATTTGTGTTACCATTTCATGAAATGACAAAACTCCAGTAACAAGTGCAATTGGTTTAAGGAGGTCTGGGAACAAACACACTGACCCCCAGGAGCCCCCAGTTAACCCCCGTGAGCAGCAAGTCCTCTGTGTCCTTAGACATAGAGAGCTGGGCTGGCTAGAGGTGCTCAGCGGGCCACGGGGACAAGGTACAGGTTTTATGTGGATTACATGGGACTGGAGAATACATATAAATTCATGGAGTCCATAACATGGTAGCTAGTTAGAAAGACTTCTATACTAAAAGAGTTAAGCACACACTACAAAAAGTGAATTTTCTTAAAAGGAGCTAGCTCATTAAGATTTTCAACTAGCCCATTTTAGTGTAAATCTGCTTTCTAGTGCCTTGCTATTCCTGGGAAATGCCAATTTATACTCATGCCCCAAATGCTACTGGTCATCAGCTGTATTTCTGCCAATATGGACCTTGAATAGTTGCACATTATGGGCCTGAATTTGCTCTAGATCTAGGGATGGAGTGGGGGGAGTTTATCCAAAAGAATCTTAGGTATTTTCTTCAGGTATACATGATTCATGCATATGAAATAACTGGAAAAAAATTTAAGGAAGAAAATTAAAAAGTAACCTACTAAATGTAATCGAGTGCACACACATGGTTTATGGTCACTCAGTACTACAGACAGCCGAGAAGCAAACATGGCTAACGCTGGCTGACAGCCCTACAGGTAGGTAAATCTTACTCTGCTTCCACCAAGTTGACAAACCCTCCTGACACCTTGACCCTCTAGCTCCCGAGATGTATGAGTCTGCTACACAGTTACCCCTGGCCATGGAGTTAGACAACGGTGGCCTCTCAGGGCACTTGCCGCCTCACCACACCTAACCCCAAATGAAGTAAAATTACACGGATTTCCCCCCACATCCGGCTGCTCTCTCACCCCCTTCCCTGGGTCTCCAGCAGGGAAGCAGGAAGAAGAAAGGACAAGAAATGATTCCTCCACTCCACCCACACGCGCCACACTCCAGGTGCAGGCCGGGCGCCACAGGATGATTTATGCTCTCCTAATGAGAGGCCTGAATGAAGGCCGCAATGTATAGTAAGTAAAAGCAAAATTACCCTGATAGGAAAAACTTCTATGCATAAAGTAAAATTTAGTTACTTTTTCTTTTTATACTTCGTACTTGCCTCAATGTGGCCTAATGCCAGGAGGAAACCAAGCCAGTTTTAGAAATGTTTTACATAGATATCGTCTACTTTGCATAAATAATTCCTTCATTGCCAGTCAATCTATGTACATTGGTTGGGAAACCAGTGGGCCCAGAAAAAAAATCAATGGCTACAGGAATGGCCCCCATGGGGTTCCTGAGTGGCCGCAGGAAAGCCATTCTGAACACAAATACATCCATTCAACACCACAGTGCTCAGTATCCACGTGCCCCAGCCTGTACTGGCCTGAAATTTCCCTTTCAACCACCTGACCAGAAGCCACAGCCTCAGACCTCACTTCCCCGCAGGCAACTTCGCAGACCCACCAGGAAGCACATGGGGTCACTTCAGCTGGCCGGGGATTCACAGTGGCACAGCCCAGGGAGAGCCTCATCTCTCCCAGCATCACCAGAAAGAACCTCATCACTGATGTGCTACCTCCAGCTCTATTCCCTGAACAAACAACAAATGCAATCAGGCGAGACAGGGCTTCAGAAACTATTGCTAGGAGTCACTTCACTAAAAACTCTAACAATCCAATGAGAGAGGCTGACCCAAGTAGGTAGCATAACAGTGACAAACGTGTTCCCATGAGTGGCATTTGTCATCACGAGGTTAATCGCTGAGGGCAGATGGCAAGTATCCCCTTCTACAGATGTTACTCACCGATACAGGCATGGACCCTCACGGACAGTTGTGTCCTTAGGATGATGCTGTGCTTCTTGCCCCGCCTAACAGAGAGAAAACAGGAGAAAAATGTACATGGGCATCAGAGGAGTTGACAAGAAGCAGCCTAGGTGCTGTCAATCAACTTGAAGGTTCTGACACACCCACCTGACAGGGGATACAGGTGAGCAGGGACCTAAACAGAACAAGGATCGATGCTGAAATAACGTGATGTCACGGGGCTTTACAGAAAATGTAATAACAAAGTTGGACTCTCTTGGATTGACACACATGCTCTACTGGCAAACCTGGTCGACTCATTCCATCCACAGAGTTTGCATGTACTCCTCGCTCGACCACTTTGGGAAAACTTTAAAATCTGTGCCCGTGAAGTGAAATCCCAGGAATGTAACAACGCAAATCTGCTTGATCCTTCCCATGGCTACTTTTACACGTTCCTGGGTATAGGAAAGGGGCACGCACAGCACGGGAATCAGAAGGAGCTGTTCTGCTGCGTATCTGTTCAAGACTGCACAGGGTTTTGTCTGTTACAGGAAGACGGGAGTCCACTGCAGAGCTTACAGGCTATTTGGTACCAGGAACAGCAATTTGCACAACTTGCTCCACCTTCATTTCCTTCTCACTTCATTTCTTATGAGGAGGAAAGAAGAAGATCCTCTCCCCAATTCTGCTTCTACTAGGGCTCATCCTGCTTTATGCAAAGTGGCACCAAAGCAGTTGACAGAAAATGATGAAAGGGAAGAAACAGGAGCCCTGGCCACCTGGGGGTAACGAAGGCTTTGAGATTTGGAGAAAGGGGAAGCCAGTGGACAAAGGTAAAACGAAACCAACCAGCCAGCATGGCAGCAGGCAACCAACCCGCTGGGGCTCTCGGAGGCTGAGTCCCCCTTCCTATCGCTCTTCTGGCCACTCTCAACTCTGCCCATCGGGGCTTCATTTATAACGCAGGCAGTGCCTTGCTGCTTCCTGGTTTTATGGTTGTGTTGGAGGGGAAGGGAACGCACATCTCACCAGATGACACTGTTAATATTGGGATTATGAATTCATAGTCATCACTAAAACAATTATATTTTTATTCTTGAGACCAGATAAGAGGGGAAAGTGTGCTTTCAAAAGGGTTTTCTTTTATTATTCTTTTAAAGGAGAAAGAAAAGCCATTTGCACCCTGACCTACAAAAGCATGCATAGCCTCCCGCCCTGCCTGCAGGTAGAGAACCTGCTTTCAGTCCCTTCAAATCCCCAGGAGCCCCTCCTTCTTACTTCACTCATTTGGTTGTTTTACATTTGCTATGTGCGGGCACCAGTCTCAAGGAGCTCACAACAGACACCCAACACTTGGCCCATCTTCAGAAGACAAGCTTGAGATTCCTACAAGCACAGACTTCTTCAAAACTTTCTTACACACACACACACACACAAATATCTTTCTCAATAATCCTGATGTTGTCACTTCTTCAATTCTTGTGATCGTACTGGGAAGAAAGTTTCAGGTAGGTGCACTGAGCTGAATTATTGAACAGCCTCTGTTGAGAACAGCCAGGAAAGGTGTTCTGGGGTAGGGGCGGCCACCACTGGGTGAGGAGCCTTGCCCAGAGATGGGAGTGGAGACTGTGGGACCTCTGACAGAAGCCAGGCCCTGACTATGAGGAACAGCAAACCTGAAGTCCTCAGACCTGAGTACTGTCTGTAACTCATGTTATCAGCAGTATGTCAATGATAAATCCCAAACAGTGGTGAGTGAAGGACATGCTTCAGATGTCCAGAGTGGAGAAGCAGGCATGTGTGGCCAGGGAAAGCATTTCAGAATATTTCAAGTTCTGGAGAAGTTCTAAGGGCCCTTACTTTAACCTCTGAACAACTGCAAAGTCACATTTGGAGGAAATGCTTAAGTTTTCCCACAGAATTCCCCAGCCCCAAAGGGAGTATGTGGGCAGTCACTCTAGGACTCTGGGCACCTTCGTGAAAACTGGGACAGTCTTTCCAAGGAAGTCCTGGTAGAACCACCATTCTGCAGTACCGTGTTTTCCATGTTGCCCAGGCAATCCATTGGACTGGCTAAGCTAAACCCTAGTGGAACTTAAGAGATCACAGAACAGAGAAGGTCTACCTCATCGTACTTTTATCTCTTATCATTCCAATGTTATACTCCTTCCCTGCCTGCCCCGTACACAAAATGCTATGTTGGGAGAAATCTGTGTAGAAGTTCTGTGTGGAGCCAAGGGCTGTAGAAGCTGCCTAATGGGATAAGGCCCCACATCCTAGGAGTTACAGGCAAAGGAGGGAGCCAGCCAGGGGGAGACAAGTGGTGGTGAATGCAGCCAGGTCCCCAGAAGGTGTCCTTCATCTCCCACCCCTTCCCTCACCCACTCCCACTTGCTCCCACCTTAGATGTGGGTACCATTGCTGTGCCCATTTTACAGATGAAAAAAGCAAAGCTTGTAGACATGACATAACCTCCATAAAGTCAGAGGACTGGTGGAAATGGGATTGGGCCTGAAAACAGAGCATCTGACACCACAGTCACCAGTGGCACCTGGCCTTTGGCTGTACAACTGCCTTGCTACAACCTGCTCCAGGACTCACGAAGGATATTGGGTTGGCCAAAAAGTCTGTCACGTTTTTCCCATGCTGCAGCTCTGGTAGCACTTAGTTGTTTTTAACTTTATTCAAAACAATTTTGCTAGAATGCATTGTGACAGCTGTCATGTCAGCGTGCATTAAGAAAAACTTTATCAAAATTGGTGAATTTTTGGGAATGCAGATTGGTGTAGCTACTATGAAAAGCAGTATGGAGATACCTCAAAAATTTAAAAATGAATCTGCCTTTCAACCCAGTAATCCCACTTCTGGGAATATATCTAAAGGAACCCAAAACACTAATTCGAAAGAACATAAGCACCTTATGTTCATTGCAGCATTATTTACAATCACCAAGATATGTAAGCAGCCCAAGTGTCCATCAGTAGCTGAGTGGATAAAACAATTATGGGGTATTTACACAATGGAATACTACTCAGCCATAAAAAAAAAATTTTACTCTTTGCAACAGCATGGATGGACATGGAAAACATTATGTTAAGTGAAATAAGCCAGTCAGAGAAAGACAAATATATATGATTTCACTCGTATGTGGAATCTAATGAACAAACTCAACTAACAAGCAAAATAGAGACAGACTCATAGATGGAGAGCAGGATGACAGCTCTGGGAGGGGGATTAGTGGGTGGGAGGATTGAGCAAAAAGAAAAAAGGACTCATGGACTCATGGACAACAGTGTGGTGGTTGTTGGGGGGCATGGTCTGGGTGTAAGGGGACTAAATGGTAATGGAAAAAATGGAATAATTTTTTAAATGATGAATTTTTGTGCAGTCATTTTAATATTGAAGCTGGAAGAAGATATGCAACATTTTCAGCGTATTATGCTTTATTATTTCAAGAAAGATAAAAATGTAACCGAAATACACACAAAAAGATTTGTGCAATGTATGGAGTCGGTGCTATGACTGATCGAACATGTTGAAAGTGTTTTGCGAAGTTTCTTGGTACCACTGACATTTTGGCCAAATAATTCTTTGCTGTGGGACTGTCTTATGCACTGGAAGATGTTTAGCAGCACCCTGGCCTCTACCCACTAGAAGCCAATAGTGAGAGATAGCTGACACACTCAAAATATCCAAGTCAATCAAGTTATTGGTGAAAGTGAAAAATTGTCTTTTATTTTACCAGAAAAAAAAACATAACAAACTTTTTGGCCAACCCAGTACAAAGAGCCTCTGTTTTTGTTTTGTTTTTTAGTGGTTTAACCTCAACACTAAAATCTAACAAAGAAGACTCACATAAAAAATTAAGATGCAGATATCTAAGAAAATACTGGCAAATCAAATTATGAAAATAATATAACAGGACCAAATAAGGTTTATCCTAAGAGCTCATTGATATCACATATCAATGTATAGAGGACATCCATCATAAAATCCCTTTGCTAGCTTTGATGCTGAAATATTGGAGAAAGGCTGATTTTAGGTATTCCCTTTGTATATGGCGATCTCACTGCTATTATTGATTCTACAAATCTTTTAGCTGATTTTTCTGGGCTTCTTTTAGGGAGACAATCCTATCATATATATAAAAATAATCACCTTATCCCCACTTTTGTAGTAAATATGCCCTTGTCTTCTGTTTCTGTCTCATGGCTAAAACTTTCAGAGGAAAATTAAATAATCATGGGTATAATTTTTCCTGCCCTGACTGGGATACTATGTCAGATTTGGTTTGGAAAATAATAATCATAATAGTTGTTAACATTTATGGAATGCTTATCATGTGCCAGACAAGATTCTAAGTACTTTATACAGATTTGATCTTCACAAAATTCCTGTAAAATAGGTAACAGTGTTGCCATTCTTAACATAAGAAAATTGAGTCCCAGAGGGCTAGGCAACATAGCTGAAGTCACATCGCTAGAAAGTGGCAGAACTCAGATTCAACCCCGGCCGCCTGACCCTGAGCCCGCCTTCCCATCACCTCCCTGATGGGGGCCCCTCGCCCATTGCCTCAGTCTACCCCGTCTGAGGCACACGGCGCATGTTCTGCCTGAGACAGCAGCAGCATGGAAGCCCTGCCTGCCCTGCAGATTTTGGAGTCACGGCCGCAATGTCAGGTCTCGCTTGAATTCCCAGCCCGCTGGCCCACTCTGCAGATTTCAGGCTTGCCAGTCCCCTCAATGGAATGAGCCCATTATCAACACTTGAAATAAATCTCTCTAGATAGACTCGGTAGACCAGATGAATTAGATTAGATACATTAGGTGGATAGGTAGATAGACAGATGTCTTACTGGTTCTATTTCTCTGGAGAACCCTAATACAAACTCTGGTATCTACCTTCATGGAGCTTCCATGTTCAAAAAGAAAAAAAAATCAGTGAGAGGCTGTCCACGTGGACTCAGCATAAGCACTTTAGCATCCTTTCCTCCTTGCCACTGACATGGAGTATGTTTCACAGCTGCCACTCCTTCCGAATCTGCCTGTTGGCTGCAGGATGA